ATCATCAGTGGTCAGTAATAAGCTTCTAGATAAGACATTAAAGAATTAAAAAGGAGGCAGATTTCAATCACAATAATGGGACACCTTTGAGCTGCCTCTAATTCATCTTCAAGCACTGGCTTTCCACTGCTAGATTAAGAACAAAACAGCACGGGCCACGTGTGTAAGTGATGAAGATGTATAAGCTTCTTGAAACCGCAACAATGTTAAAGATGAACCAATGGCAGCGGCTTTAAACTGACCACAAGCTAAAGGAGATGCTGATGACAGAAAATACAATTACCGTCCCTTTCCGGACCTTAGCTAAGGAAGCCAACAGGTAGTGAGGTTTCACTGCTTACTCTCAGGCCCACACTGAGGTCTAGCCACACACAGCACTGCCAGCTGATGATACAGTTAAACCACATTGTGTAATGGCTAAATATTTCCTCCTTGGTTGCTCTGAGAGGATGAAGTGCAGCTTGTGTGCAGAGGCCCACATCACCCTTTGAGAAGGGTGCATCCTTGTGGGGTTCGTCCCCCCACATACCTTTTTACTCCTTTCTCTTTTATCTCTTCTCCCAGCCACTGCTGAGATCTGTAGAGCATCTTCCCCCTTTTTTTCTCTAACTCCCATAAGATCATCACTGAGGTAACCCCCATGTTTGTTGTTAAATTGTTTTATCAACGAGACCAAGCCCTACAAAGGGCACTCTGCACCAGCCCAAGCACAAATGAGGTTTTTTCCTGCATACACTCATGCATTCACCTCAGTCCCCATTCTGCTAATGGCTACGTATCCACTCATCTCAGATGGCCGCCCAGAAAACTCCTGCCTTACCCAGCAGCAGGGCAAAACAGTCCTCCATGCACCTGTCATAGGATCCAATGTCAAACTCACTGGAATGCCATAAGTTATCTAGAGGGTTTGAGGGAAATACTGTCTGTGAAGGACTGCTTGCAGCCTCTAAGCCATTTTCAAGGTATCATCAAAGTCATCCTCAGATGGACAAGCCTGGCAGCATAATACACACAGGGAATGTTGTTCGTTTCCTTCCGTCAAACTTTCTAAATATTAGAAATGATGATGATAGCAATGCGTACTTGTTAGAGAATTAACATGTACTGAAATATAATGCCCCCTCTCGTCCTTCCCAAAAGTCTGTAGATGGTTACATGAGGACTTATCTATGATTCCATTTTTCAGACAAGAAAACCAAGGCACAGATAGGTTAAATAACTTGTCTAAAATAAGTGGCATAGCTGAGTTTTGAACTTAGGTTTTGAACTTGGACTTATGGCCTCGGTTTTCACAGAGAGGTTAACTTGGTACTTACTATGAAGCTGTTGCTGAACATGATGCAATTTAGGTACCAACTATACTTTTTTGCTTTATCTCACTTTTCTCAGTGGAGTTTATTTCTGAAACAGATTATGTTGCAAAACACATACATTTGAATGTAAACAAAATGTTTAGAGACTAAGAGTAGAATATAATAAATAACTGGACACATTAACTATAGGCCAACATAATAATGATTTAGAATCTAAACAACATTCGTTTTTCATGTAACCACACAGAGCAGCACCCTATAATAGACTCATAATGTGGGTCACATGTATCAACTAAAATTTTCTAGTAACCACATGAGGAGATACAGTTAAACTAATTTTAATGGGAAATGTATCTACAACTCCAAATCTAAAGTGTTTTAAAATACAATGAATATTTTAAACACTAAGGTGGTTATCATTCCTTTTTCACACTAAGTTTTTGAAGAAGTTTGAATTTTCCACTATGGCACATGTCACGGTATACCAGCTCAGTAACCACGGCTGATGGTGGCTGCCTTGGATGGAGCACAGAGTGATGGATACCATGTTAGATGCCATGCATTTAACATTCGGTAGGAAGTCAAGGTGACACACTTAAGGCAGTCAGGACCATGACGTTGGACTGCATCTTGGGCTTCTTTGCACTGCCCATTCTTTTAAGGTAAATGCAAATTCATTTCCACAGACGACAGCCACCTCCCTTCTCTGTCACTTCCACAACATATAATCATCTACATTTCCCTCCTTCTTTCCCTCTCTCCATGCCTCCCTCCCTCCCCCCTCTCTCCATGCCTCTCTCCATGCCTCTCTCCCTCTCTCTCTCTCTCTAAAAACACACAGAGTTGTCCATTAAATCTAAACTGGGACTTCTTAACAATGTTCCAAGTAGGTGCTTCACTGACCACTAACCAGGGTTCACCTCTCTAAGGTTCAGGATAGGCAATGGCAGTTCCTACAGCACAGGCTTGTACCTCTAAGGGTTAACAAGCTCTGCTAACAGATGCTGCTTCTGCTTGCTCTCTCCTATGGTGCTCGTGCAAATCAAAATGGTTACTGTGCACACTAAATCATATTTCTTCTCTGGGATTATTTATTATGACCATTATCCTCATCTGTTTTCTCTGTGCGTCCCCCGCTGCTCATGTATCTGAGTTATTATGTCCTCACAAGAAACACAGCAGAGTAAACTGTGGGTAAGAAAAAGTGACAGCCCAGACTAAATTTACTGAAAGTCACTCTTTCAATTCTAACAGTGCAGGTTGGAACTGACTGATGATCTCAACAGATTCTAATGGGAAGAACAAAAAGCCAAAGTGATAAAGATTATTAGCTCTCTCTGAGGCTCTTTTGCTGCCCTTTCTGAGAAAGTTGCAAAGGGTAGAGTCCATCCCCACTCCTCCTTGTGATTGCCCTGGGATGCTTCCTGCAGCTACTGATGTCCATGACCCCCTTCTATGGGGCCCAGTGGGACCAACTGCATGAAGATCCTATAGGGTGGCAATTCTATTCTTCAGGGAAGGTGCTTTTTGAGAGTCTGGATCCATTACCAACCCATACAGGAGGAGACCAGAAGCTGATCTGCTTAGTGTTACAAATATCTCTTGTGCCTCAAAAAATATTTTTTAACAGAAAAGTTCTCTCGTCTCTTGTTTTTCTATTTCAATTACATAAGCTCGTTTCTATGCCACCAATATTCTACTATAATTACTAACAATTATAAAATTACGATTCTAGTTGAAAGATATTTTGTGGTGTTGGTAGAACTATTTGTGTCCATTGACGCAGCGAAACAAGAACTAATGTATTACAAAGGTAGAGCAGGAGAGACAGATGAGCCAGCAGCTCAGGTGTGGGTCAAAATGGCCTCCACTGTGGTAATCAACTGGGGTAACCAGAGGACAGGTGACACCATCTCCAACTCATGTGATCTTCCCTCTAGCATGTCGGTACCCAGCAACACCATCAAGGCAGGCTTGATTTCCACCTGGACCTCAGTCACACTCCCCCCTTCCAGCCAGCATCTATGCTTAAGCTTCTCTGGGGTTAAGCCTCAAAGTAAAGAGGACAAGACTTAGTTACTGAAGAACAAAGGAGGGACAGGGTTGTCTCCCAGGTGGAGTTTCTCCCCCACTGTGGCTTTGCTGCTCAGCTCCTGCTCTTCTGGAAGTTTTTTTTTTTTTTTTTTTTTTTTCCCTGAGTACGGTCAATAGGGCTTAGTTTTAAGGTACAAACAAGACATTTTTATGATCCTTCCTTTAAAAACACACAGAGTTAAATTGCTCAAGTTGCTAGCCGTCTCACATGTATTTAACATTCTTGAAATTTCCTCCAAATATGGAGAGCACTCTACCCTTTAGCCATTGGAGAGGATAAGTGAAAAACAGACTAGCAAAAATTTGAAATTCTCTTTCCTCACTCCCAAGACAAGGAATCAGCAGGACACAACCTATGAAGCGGGCAAGTGATCCCTGGTGATTTTATAGTCAGTCTCTTAGGGTTTGTGTTTCTTTACTACTCTACGACACCAAGAACATTAAGAGCTAATATCATCCCCCAGCTTTGTAAAGATGTGTTGTCACTGTTAGATGTGTTGGTGACCAGAGATGGCATACTGTGTTGAAGAGGATCTAGATAGGAGGTGCATGCCCCATCTTGGTCCTCACTGACTTCTGTAGAATTTGGGGGAAATGGACCAAATTTAATAGAGATGGAATTCTTCATCAAGAAAGGATGGCACTACTATCTTCCCAATCTTATTAAAAGGATTAAATAAAGTCTGTAAAGGTAAGGCCTTTGTAAGTAATAAGTAACAATAGCAAGCTGTCATCATTAATATTTTTTTGAATACCACCTATATACCAAATACATATAAAACATTTACCATGCTTCAAATGCACTCTTACTTACTGTCCACACTAGCCTTGTAAAAACCATTACCACACTCATTTCATTAGAGAAAACAGAGGCAGAGATGACTGAACAACTTGTCCAGGATTTTAAAGCAGGGACTAGGAGAACTGAGAGTCAATCCAAGACATACGGGCTTCAGAACTCTACGATTTTATTGTCTCCCTACACAAACCTGTCTTGAATTATATAACCATAGAATAGATGAAGGAAAACTTGACAACATGCTGTTCAACACTTAGTTCTCTATAAAAAAAAAATCTTTACTGAAAGGTAAGTGTAATCAACAGTGTTTGCAAGTCCACTAAACAGCAGAGTCCAGCAAGGAATGGCGGTCATTCTTACAAACATGCAGAATGCCAGCATGGGGCCAAGTGTAAAATTAACCTATCGGATGAGGATGTGGAAAGAGGGACAACATTAATATTGTGACCAGCCAGACAAACAGAACAAAACAAAACCATTAACCAACCAAACCAATACAAAAATAATCAACTTGGAATATGTCTAAAATATTCACAGATGCATTTAAATAAATATTTAATGAAAGTGTTCATGTGACTATAATTTGGCAGTTAGCCACCAATGGATGCATCCAAAGCTGTAAATCAAGAGAGCCATAAGCCAATGGTTCAATTTTTTTTTTTTTTTTTTTTGGATCACAACTCTGGATTCATCACTTGGGTTTAGAAACACTGACCACTGACCTTGGTTGACAGTAAAAGAAGGTCAGAGTTAGCTAAAGAAAGAAATATATATTCTTAATTACTCCCTCGTACCTGCTACCTGCAGAAAACCTACTGGATTCCTTTCCTTTTTCTTTCCATTTCTTCCCCTTGTTGGGATTCCTTCGCAAAGGTGCCCTACAATAACAGCGCATGGTCAGAAAGAGAAAAGTAACATCAACCTTTTAATCTTGTGGAGAACTACTTTCCCAGGAGGAGGTCCTTACCCCAGATCCACAAACTTCTGCTTAATTTTTCCTCCTTGTACCACCAATGAACTGGGTGCTCTTGATGATTTAGGACAACTGGCATCGTCTAGGACATAGACACAGAGAAAAGATCGGTTAGCATTTTATTTTAAGCCATGACTCGAAGGTCAGTCAGTGTATTTCTGAACCTAAGGGCTTTGCCTGGGTTATTCAATGCACAATATTGCAACTCTCCTGTCTATAAGGCATAAAATCTCAGCCACAATGGGGAAGGAGCATTCAACACAGCATGGAAGTTTACGGCACAGACATGTGGGGATGAATGACATGAGCAAGAATAAATACTTTCACTTCAAAGCAGGTATGGTGTTGACTTTGCCTGGCTTTGGCCCCAACACAGGCACTAAAGGCCTATGTCCTATTTCCCCCAGCTTTCTCGGTTCTGGGCTTTCCTGCCTTCTGAAGGAACCTGCCAAATCACAACTCAGAATAGAAAAGTATCGCTTCTTAAAGTCTAGGAGCTCCATAAAGCAACTAAGAATAAAAATTTCTCTTCTGGGGGCTCAGCAGTTAAGAGTACTGCCTGATTTTCCTGAGGACCCACGTTCAAGTCCCAGCACCCACCTGACAGTTTACAACTGTCTGTAACTCTAGATCCAAGGGACCTAACACCCATGGCAAAATACCAATGCACATTTCTTTTTTTTTTTTTAATTCCTTCTGAGCTCTTCTATACTAGTGGCCCATAACAAGTTCTGGAACAGGGTAGGGCAGAATGGTGGAGGTGGGGTGGGGTAGGGAGTGGGGGGGCCTCTTAAGCAGAAGCCAAATATATCTTTGAAATGCTCTTTTAAAGAGCTATTTAGAACAAAACTGACTGGCCTACCAAATCTTTCAAGGGCTTGGAGCTGACTGAGTTGCACCTTCACCAATGATGTTGACACTACTTAGCAGTGTAGCAGCCACGGGGAATAGACCACCAGAAATGCTGTCCGTCAGAAGAAAGGATTTGAGAATGGGGTTCGGGGTGAACATAGGGCCAGGTTCTACCAATGGCATGTACCCCACACCTTTGACAAGGCAGATGAAACTGCAGCGAAGAGTGTTGAGTGCCACATTTCAGCATACTCAATCATCTGGGATGACTGACAGCATTTTAAATCCCATGTAATTGTGTGTGCAAAACTCCTTTTTAATTGCTAGTGTTTGCTGCTAGTTTATTTATGTATGTATTTATTTAGTTTTTAGTGCCTAGGGATTCGCATATGGATTGTATAGAAAACGGACATCCTAAGACAGTGTTCAATTCACCTTAAAGGTTAATTTTGTTTACCTCAGGACAAATTTCTAAACAGATACCAGCACACATAGTTCCTGTTCCTCAGTGTAGCTCCAAATTTCTTACAGCAGCACAGCATATGGGTAGACATGCCAAGGATTCCTAGCTAGGAGCTCCTCATATTGTTAGTTAATGGCTCTCAGCAGATTACAATAATTCTTTGAAATGGACATGATGGAATACAGGAATCAGATAGATGCCTGTGTCAAAAATCCACTTCTTGCTCCAAATGTTTATTATGAGTATTTGCATCATTATTCTTTCAGTAACTGATTTAAACAGCCACAGATGTGACACAAATCCATTAAAAAATGGCTCCCTTCTAAGGTGATTTTGCTAATGGATATTTAAAAAAAAAAAAAAAAAGAGCAGGTTTTCAATTTTCTTAATAGAAGCCAAAGAAACAAACGAGACGAATTCTTCCATATCAATTCTAAAGAACTCTTAAGGTTCAGGCCAGTGCAAAGTTAAAAGGAGCCTGCTTAATTATTTTCTGAATTAGGGGCAGCTGGAACATGTTTTAATGAGTGGTAAGATGAACAGCTGAGACAATGTTCATGGAGGCTTTCTGTAACCCGTTAGTGTTGTAGTTATTTGGACATCTTAGGACTAAAAGCTTGATTCTGCCCATCACAGAGCTTGCTGCTAGGCAACCTCACATCATTATCTCACACACTTGCCAAAGCCTGTTCCAAGGAACACTGGAATGAAGAGGCGAGATTAAAGAACAGTGCCCCTTACCATTTAAATCATTTAAATTAATTTTTAATATATGTCAGAGCTTTGGGTCAGCAAAAAAAAAAAAAAAAAATCCAACATGGGGTTAGTATGAGCTGAAGAAAGCCAAGTATTATATTTTTGCACTTGTATTTACTTGTGTCATGGAAGATATCCATTAGGTTTCAGAAACTGCCCTGATATGACTTTTGTAATCCATCTGAAGCTCAGGTATCCACATCAAGCACTTCAGCTTTAAGCTCCAGCAACTTGGCTATTGTTTCCCAAACAAATACATGGCCTCTAAATCCCGAAGTCCCTCCTGGTGATATCTGCTCAATCAGACACTTGACTGCCCCTACTTTTATGATGAGATTGTCCAGATCCACTTCCTGACCTGGTCTCTCCTGAACCCTGGACTTCCTCCATTTAAAAAGAGATGGATAACATTCCCCACACAGTGTCTCTAATTTGTTTTCTGTTAGTGATTTAAAAAAACGTGTGTTCTGAGGGCACACGCCTGTGATTAGCTATGGGTCACTTTCTTCTCAGTGTTGTCTAACCATCACAGGTTTCGTGGCTCTTGTATCAACTGCACTGCCCGAGCTTCCTCTTCACAAGCACACTCCCCTGGATGTCTCCTCACTCAGTTCCCTCATGCCCACAGTCCTTTTCTGTTTATTCTCTTCTCAAAATAGTCTATGGTCCTTAGTGGTTGGGAAGTATCTAAGGTCCTTAAATTACAGAACCATAGACAAATAAAACCCATCAGCTTTTACACTCAATGTCACTATCCTGAAGAAACCAACACTTTTGACTGAGACAGTCCACACCTTTGAATTCCTATATGTGTCTGCTCACACCAGCACTCCATCTCCCATGCCTTCTTCCCTAGCTTTTCTTCTTTTTTAAAGTCCTTGGGTGGTTACTTTAGCTGCACATTCTATGCAGCTAAACAGAGCAGCACACATCTTCTCTATTCTTGGTATTTATTCATTATGTATTCTTTATATGCAGTATTTACACGTAAGCTCGGGGGCCTAGTGCAGTGTGTGAGTAAGATGGGCATTGGGTAAAGGTGTTGAAAGTTGCAAAGTTTCTGGAAGTGCTCTATGCCAGGCAGTGTGCTAATGGTCAAAAAAAAAAAAAACAAAAACAAAAGAAAACTTAGAACACTAACTTCTTGAAGTTGAGTACAAAATTGATAGTGAGCTCTGGTTAACCTTGACTTAACAAAACCTCACTGCTATGTAGGTTAGTGACGGAACCTCAGCAAAAAGCTGATCCTGCAGGGGTGAAAGGAAATATTTTCATGCCTCTTACAACCACAGAGCTCTGTGTTACAACCCTTGGAGACATACTGCCTTGGTTTCTGCTAACCTAACCAGCATTTGGTTACAGGTACATCACTGAGGCATTGGTTATGAGATTCTGTCTCAATTTCTAATGTCCCTCAAATATAAGGGGAAATAATGGCATGTAAGTGGGCACACTGACATGTTTAGAAAACCCAGAATTATATCAGGGTGACTAGAGGCTATCCTTGGGGCTGCCATAAAACATGGTAATGTATAAACCATCTTTATCAGTAACTCGATAGACTGGAAGTGATGATGTATGACTATTTAAAAATCTAGACAAATGACAACCAGTACTTAGCCATATCCAGGGTTCGTACAGTGGTGGTGAACAGGATGAAGAATACTTTTAGACAAGCAATCAGGAAGACTGCCTCCTCCCCATGGGCCAGAGAGTAAATAGTTGACGTTAGGAAGATGTTCAGTCTCTTTCTCAATCACCCTGCTCTGCCATGCTAGGTTAAAGGGGATGCTTATGTGTCAGAAAAACGGTGGCTACATTCTTCCAAACAGGTGGCTGCTGCATTTGGCTAGTGAACCCCATCTCGATGATTGCATTACTTGTCTGGGCAGGCAAACTTAGTAATCCATCCAGAAATGTCTGAGCATCACTTATTTGCCACACTCCTTCTGAATAAGCAAGAAAACAAGGAGGAGTAAGCTAAGTGAGAAAATGTTGGTCCACACTAAACTACTAAGCCAGTCATTGTATACAAAGGGGTGGGCTCAAAAGTAACAGTGAAAACCACTGTGGAATGGGGTGGCTGGCCCAAGGCCAAATTAAGGAGGTGAGATTTATGTTGGGTGCAGTGTTAGCCAAGAGTATAAACATGATGTCAAATTCGTACCTGGGAGTATCACAAAGCCCTTTTTAGTTCCCTCACTGAAAAGCCAGTGAGAGCTAAGAGCCATACACTGAGGGTGTCAATTAGCCACACCAGAATTTTCAAGTCCAGCTCAGAGCAATGGCTCTGTCTCATATAGCAAGGAATGCAAGGCATCACAGAGCCTTATTCCCTGGAGTTTTGTTTCAATGAAGGAGGATCCCATCCTGTTAAGCTTTGTTGGACCTGCCCTAGCAATATCATCAAAAGAGAGCCTGGGATTTCCCTAATGTCTGAATGACACTTAGGTCTGTTGATTGGGAATTGGGTGGGAGAACTCTGAGGAATGTGAGAAAGCTTTAGTGAAACTGGCAGGTATCAGCAAGTTAATGGCACAGTCTGTGTACACAGCCAGTTAATTTGACTCTAATTTTATGCTCGCTGAGTAACTTTGTGATTTATGAATCCACCACCTAGGAGAAAATGGAATGAATGAAGGCTAGTAGTTATTAAGTCAGCTGTTCCCCCCCAAAATAAGCTAGAAAATTATTGTTTTGGTAGAAAGATTTTAGCAGAATGAGCCAGCACTCTGTGCTTGATTAGATGTGTGTATATTAATGAAACTGGGTATGTAGAAAACTGATGATCGGAACCCTAATTCCTTAGAGCACAGTCTGAAAGACAGTGGATGAGATGTCTCTGACAGCCTGTAAGATATGGAGGTACTTTCTGACATGCTGATTATGTTGTGGTGAGGGGTCCCAGAGAGGGCAGTTCTGCCACCAAACCAGCTGGGTGGGGTACAGAGAGAATGGACACAAGCAGCAGAAACACACACAGGGAGAAGATGAAGAACAAGGGGGTCATGAAAGACATGGAGTCTAGTATGCACTCCCTGAGGAGAAGGACACAATTCTGATTGTCACTGGTTACACATCTGGTTATAGATTAGGTACCCAACGACTGTGCAATGGACACAGGAATAAATGTGAATGAATATGAAGGCAGGGGAAACCCTGGACTACAAACTTTTAACGAGGAGAAGAAAGAACAAGGTGCCAACACCACTTTTATCTGTTCGGTTAGTATGTCATGGCCAATCTTGTTATCAACTTGACTACATCTGGAACTGGTAGGTTTGTGGGGTAGACCTAACCTGTGACAAACCTGACTGTATTGTTTTGGGGAGGATTGTGGAAGGACTTTGGAACTTTGGGCTAGAAAAGCCGCTGAGTGTTGAGGATTCCATGGGCTGAGCTGTAGGAGTCTGGAAGATAATGCTGACTGAGAGCAAGCCAGTAATCAGCCCTTCTCACAGAATCTGATCAGTTCCTGCCTCTAGATTCACAGCCCATGTCTCTTGCCTTGACTTCTCTGGACAATACACTGCTAACTGGAAGTATAAGATGAAACAAACCCTTTCCTCCCCACATTGCTTTTGGTCATGGTCTTCTATTACAGCACTAGAAACTGTGAACAGGACAGTTATGTTACAACAGTCATCATACTTGTCCATTTACAAAGCTGGTACACCATCAAAGTTCAATGACCTGCTCTGTTCAGTTACCCAGAAGTGTGGTCAGCTCAGGAGAACGGAAGAGGGGAAACCCAAAGTCTCGGTCTCTGGAGGGAAACCCAAGATCTTGGTCTCAGGAGAATAAATGACCTGTGCTCTGATCTTTGGTCCAAAGATGACACAGACACAAACAAGGCAGCTCTGTGGAAATGGAGAGCTTCTCATTCTACTGCCCATTATGCTTAAGGGCCCATGAGGCACGCCTCAGATCTTCTGCCAACTTCAAAACAGCCATCAATCAAAAGGAAAATGCAGCATGAATCCAGATAAGACTGAGCTGCTCCTAAAAGTCCCCATGAGTTTTCATGGCTCGGAGATCCACTGTCTGATCATCATGCCTTTGGATTATAAGCTGTGGGACGAGGATACAGCTCAATGGTAGGCAGGATGCTTGGCTAGCATGTGCAAAGCTCTGAGTTTCATTCTCTAGCACTGCAAACACCCAAATAAAACAAGCCAAACGGAACACAGACTCACACAGTGGAACTCCAGTAGCTCGGAAGAGCTTCTGCCTTGGCCTTCACCCGACACCTGCACGTTTAGGAGACAGAGGAGAGCTAACTGCAAGCCTATCTAATAAAGGTACTATCATAACCACGCTTTAATTAATGGACTTCTGAAGCCTTTAATTCTTTTCAAAGTAAGCCAAACTCACAGCTAAGCTGTTCATCAACCTGATGACCGTGTTTGATTGTTTAGTGGGCCTGACAGAATTCCCTAGCCTCCACTAAGTGTCCTGGGCTAAATACTCAGTGTTTGCCTCCGGGATGGTTTCTGAAGAGCTGCGTGCAGGACCTGTCTTTGATAGATAACTGTGGTAGCTGACAGGCTCCATCAAGGAAACCCAGGAGAACACTAATACTGACCACAAGTCACAAAGCACCATGGGTCTGCTGGGTTTCTGTGTTCACAAGGAGCTGTAGAAAGCCTGTAATTGGTGATCTGGCAGAGACAATGTGTGTGGAGTGCTATGAAGTTGTACCCATGGTGTACACATGGCACATTCCATGGTTGTTGCTATGCGGCAGATTCTGCCCTTCTAGTCTAAGGATCGGGTAATTTTGGCAATTAATTTAAAATGTCATCTCTCTGATCATTACTGAAGCTACTCTCCTTTTCACAACTTATAAACCAAGGTAAATCTTCTCTTCAGGGAACCAAGAGTCTATTTCCTCAGTCTGCTTTAAGCTTTTTAAAAAGAATCAATTCTTTGGAGTTGTTTGAATATTAAAAAGACCACCCATTAACTTCATATGTTCGGTGCTTTTTGAGAGCCAAAATCTAGAATGTTTATGGCACAGGCATAGAATCTCAGTAAAAGTTAACAGAATAGCCTGTTTCCACCCCTCCCTCTGCTACAGTGTGCAGGACCAAGGTCCCTTGCACTCCTGACCCTCCCTCTGGGGAGCAGACTTTGCCATTCCCATTTGCAATGCCAAAATTCTGTCTATACCTCTACCAGATTTGCTCTCTATAAATATAATTAGATAGCTCTTGTAATCTGCTTTGCTCTGTCAATGTCTTTTCCTAGAGATTCATAGTTATATTTCCTGCTGTATGGGCTCATTACACAAATATAGTGCAATTCATTTTTCCATTTTACTGGTTTTGTTACCGTACACCAGGGCTGCCATGATTACTTCTTTTTCCTGTGTGTGTGTTTACGTGACTGTGTGTGCATGTCTGTGTGTGTGTTTCTGTGATTGTGTGTGCATGTGAAGGCCAGAAACCAATGCCAGGCATCTTATTTGATTTCCTTCCTACCTTCCTTTTTGAGAAACATGGATCATTAACCCTAGAGCTTACTGACCTGCCTAGACAGGCTGCCAGTGAGCTCCTAAGATCTGCCTGTATTCATTCAAACTCCCTAATCTCCAGAGCTGTGATTACAGATATATGCCATCACGCTCAGATTTTTCCTGGATGCTGGGGACCCAAACTTGAGTCTATATGCTTGGGTGACCAGCATTTTATCACCTGAGCCATCTCCCCCATCTCTGCTGCAAATAATAGACAGATATAGGGTTTCACTTGGACAGATATATATTGTATATGTGTATATGTATTCCAAGATAGGTGCCAATAAAATATTATTTGCAAAACAAAGTTTCAAAGTCATGTGATTAGTAAGAGTGTATTTTTGTAAAAATGCAAGTATATAAACTAAAACATATATACATTAAAATAATTTCTGTTCTGTTTATATGTATAAATTATGTTACTTACACAAAAATAACATAACTAAAACTACATTGTTACTTTAAAAGAATACATCATATGTAAAGAGGGGAACCTCATGCTTTATATTTCTCTGCACTGTTTAATTATTTTTAACATAGATTAATTGCTTCTATATACCAAAATAAATGATTAAAAAGACAAGTACAGGGGCTACAAAGGTGGCTCGTGTTAAGAGCACTGGCTGCTCTTGTAGAGAACCTGGGTTCAATTCCTAACACCCGCATGGTGGATCACAACCATCTATTAGTCCAATTTCAGGTATCTGATAGCCTCTTTTGACCTTTAAGGGCAATGCATGTGCATGGTACACAGACATACCTGTAGGTAAAACACCCGTGCACATAGAATACAAAGAAAAAATGTAAAGGCAAGTCTGTTAACTCTATACCTGCTCTGCATTGACCTTTCCCATTGCTATTCTATCACACACACTGCAGTACTAACCACCGTAATGATTATTACAGCAATAACCATCATGGTAATTACTGTGAAAACTTATTGAAATAAAAAAATCAACCAATTGACAATGGCTGACATCATTCAGTCTTCTCATTTCCTCTCATGTGGCTATTAAGAATTCATGGAAACTCCAGGATCTAGTGTCTAGAACCTTTAGACAGTTTCCAGAACATTCCTTTTGTAGTCAACATGGAGAAAGCTAAAGGGATAAAGATACCAGGCAAAACTAAAAAACCAAAAAAAAAAAAAAAAAAAAAAAAAACACGGAAAAGAGCGTTCTCTCATTCACTAACACAGGAAGAAAGCAACAGACTGTAAGGACCTATGTCTATGAGAAAAATCTAGTTTCATACTGTACAAACTGAGGTACTAATGATGCCAGATGGAACAGAATTGGAAAAGAGAAACAAAATCCAAGTACCTCTTTCATGTAATGGTTTCAGAGTTGCTTGGCGGTGGCAAGAAGAGTCTTCTGTATCGTGATCAGATTTTGAAAGTGATGAGGGTGAAGTATCTCCAGAGGCAGAGGAGAAAGTATCCCTTTCTGGCAGCCGTGATCCTTCTTGACATTCAGTCAGGTCATGAGATGAGAAGATCTCATGGCTAGCCACGGGGGTGAGGGGTGCGACACCAGAATCTGATTCTGGAGAAGAAACTCTCCAACCCTTGGGCAGAAGCGATTTGGTAACGTATGTGTGGTTAGAGAGGCTGTTTGAAGGCTGTTGGTATAAGAGGTTACAGAGCAAGTTATGCCACCGAGTATCAGTGTTGTGCGGCATTTACATGGAAAGGGACCAGCCTTTTCTTAGGGAGAGAAACCTTTGTGTGTTGGCTTATTTCTGAGGATGCACAGTTCATAATTACTCACCAACAAATAATGCAGCTAGCACAGCCACCTAAATATGTAGAAATGGTTACTTGAGTGTCCATTATTCCCCCACTAGATTAAACCAACAGTTGAATATCAAAGGCACCATCATGAAACATGATAATATGGAAAATTCTTTTGGCTACCTTACTGAATGGATAAAGAATTAAATGACAACCATATAGCAAATTGAATACAAATTCAGGAGACAAAGATGTAAACTATTCCAATTCTTTCCAAGGAGGGTGCAGACCCTATTAATAAAACAGCCATCACATCCAGTGCACATCTGGTGACCAGGAAAAGTGCTCACCTTCCGTTCCAGGCTGTCCTCCCCATCAGTCGAGCTGATACTGTCATAGAGCCGTGTCCTCGTGGACCTCTGGCGTCTGTTCTTCACAGAGAGCTGGGCCCGAGTTTTCAGTGCTTTCGAATCCAGGCGCTCTGTCTCTGGGACTGCTTCATTCAAGTCTGGGAACAGTGTTGCAAAATAATTTGTAAGAGAAAACTTTGGAGACTATTGGCAGAGACCGCAGACACTGAAACCCAATCATTGGTTATCCATGGCCAGGGGGACAGGGGACAATTTTTCCAGCTTGTCTAATGTTCGACAGGTGATGCCAAAAATCTGTGACCCAGAGAGTATAAAGCCTTTCTGCAACACAACTAGGAAAGCAAAGGTTTGCATTTGCTTATGGACACACATGGTGCATAGTAAGTTACAAGAGACCTTAGAAACTCTATGAAAAAATCTGGTTGCCAAAGTCAAACGTGGGTAACAGAAGGTGACTTTGACCCCGAAAATTCACTACTAGGTTATTCAACTTTGGTCTTGATAGTGTCTGGGTATCTAACATGTTCCCCCCTTGAACTCTGCTAAAACAAACAAAAACAGAACAAAAATCAGAAGAGAATGTATTTAATGGCAGAAAATTTATGATACATCTGTTTCCTTAGAAGACCTGACTACACAAACAGACAAAGAGTTGAACTACCCCAAGAGTGTAACTCCTGCCACTAAGAAGGGAGGAGAAAGGTTTCACCTTCTAGCCTTAGTTTCCAGGTTACATTCCAAGGTGCTGATGCCCCTGTCTCCTTTCTTTCTCTGACTCCTCTCTCTTGTCACCACCAATTACATTAGTTTTCCACAGGAAAATGTTTAAATCCTAAGGACTTCAAGAGAAGAAGCCAGAGAGTTGCCTCAGTGGTGACAAGGATTTGTTGTTCTCATAGAGGTCCCAGGATCAGTTCCCAGCGGCCACATGGTACCACACCATCATCTGTAACTTCAGAGTCTAGGAGACCGGATACCCTCTTTTTACCTCCCCAGACATCAGGCACACATGTGGTTCACATACGTATATGCAAGCAAAACATACACATAATTAAAAAAAAAAAACTAAAAATGAAGTACAAAAGAATCAAGAGGAAAAGACAAAGAGGGAAGGAAGGGGGAAGAAACAAAGCTAAACAGACAGACAGAACAACAGCAGCAGCAGGGGCATGGCAGAACCTGACTGCCATCTCAGCACTAAGGAAGATTAGGCACAAATGCATCCTGAATTCAGAGTCAACATGGGTGAGTCTGTGTCAGAAAACCACAGACCCCACAAAGGATGAGAAAGGGGAAGAAAGAGACAAGGAACAATAAAGGCTACCAAGACCTATCCTGGGGTCTTCTTTAATTGGTTTTTAACACATTTAATCTTGTTAAGTATTAATGGGGGCAGGGGAAGGTCACCCATGAATACACCTACTGCAGTAGTAGTAGTATATGAGTGCTGATTAGAGGAAAGGTATTCATTAGAAGTAAAACTACTCTTTACATAGATAGACATGATCACCTACTGGAAATAAAATAGTTTGAGGATTAATCCCATCTCATCTTTTCAGGATGGCAGTCATTAAACAAAGTCACTCAGAAATTAATTGAGGGACCCTGGATTTAAATTATTAAAATAAGCAAATTACTCACATAACTCAAATAACTAATATAGACTTGTGCTAACAGAAAAGGATTTCTTATGATAATCATTAGCCTGGGCAATTCCTTTTTATAGCATTATCTTAAAGATGAGCTCTAAACACATAAAACACAAATACTGAAGAGCCTCGGGTGCTCTCTCTTATAAAACTGAGCGCTTGGCATATAGTTCTAACAAATAAAATTCAACATACATTTGCCCAGGAGACACATCACTGAATGACAATGTTACAGAAGGTCTGACTTTTCATTTCCCATACTTGAGTGAAGAATGAACACTGGGAGGAGCCAGGCCACACAGGCGAATATAAAGAATAACTAGATGTTTTCTAATTAGTAGACTCTTTACTTTTTACATGCCAATGGAGGAAAAAAATAGTTGCCTTCATCGCTTTAATTTCCTCCCTCCAATAAAATCTATATTTGCAGCTGCCCATTAAGAGTTCATTAGTTGTGATAATTGGGAGAAAGTCAACCTTACAATCTCTGTTTACCTATAAAAATGCAGAACACCACACAGATGAAAGCAATAATATAATTAAAAATACCACAGTTCATGCACGTCTTCCATCTTTTCTGTCTTGGAGATGAATCGCATGCTCTGTAATGCAAAGCCCTGTCACACACTACACCTTGCGTGTCCCTTATTACAGACCCATGAGGCAATAAGCAAGCAGGTTGTTTCCTCTCCTGAAGCCCAGAAGATCAGAGCAGCTTGCCCTCCTCTACACAGCCAGCTGATGAACTGCTGTGATTATTCCAGGGCTCTGTCTCCCAGGCTATGAGTTATCTACTCCAATTTAGCTAGTGTTGAAAAGTCAAGATTAATACCAGAGACATGTGTTTTAAAAGTTACAAAATCATGTATGATGGGACCAGTCTAGGAAATTCAGCTCTCCGGCATCTATTCTGTGTTTATTAGAAAATGTGGAAAGGAAAGGCTTGTTGAAAACCACAGACAGATTACTTCACAGATGCTCTCATGACTGGTTAGTTTGCTAACAACTTTGGTTAGTAGATGACAAAGGTACCCAAGGAAGATGTGCATCCCACTTATGTAAATACAGCTCCTTGGCAGTAGAATCCTGGTTTTAAACTCAGCACCGCATCCTGCCTGCAGAACGGCACAGGTGACTCCATTGTTTGCACTGAGCGAGTAAAATGAGGGAAATTGACTCATTAGCAGGTACAAGACTGAAGAAAGTAGTTACTAGGAAGTAATCAGCTAGTTCAGCTGTTAGACAATTGTAAACGGCTACATGAACATCAGCTTCAGCATCCCCTCATCAGGTGTAAACTGATCGGGCATACAAATGCCAATTATGCCTAGGAAAGATTCACTTAGTGTGAGTCTAAAAGGCAGGGCTTTAAATCTGTTATCTGAGAGGCCAATACCATATTGCCCACACGTTTGAGAGTCTAAAGCAAGTATCAGAGACACTTTATTGCAGAGATTATGGATTACAAACCAGTAATTTATTTTCCATCCTGGAAAGTGAAATGGCTTTTAAAAGAACCACAAAAATGGAGTGGTGCTGAGAACTGTCACACTGACAGCTCTTACACAGAAGGGACACTGTCTATGAGAAGGCGCACAATGACAGCCAAGAAGGCTGCGTGGAAACGGGAGACACCAGCAGCTGGGTAGCAGGTATCTCCATTGCTCATCCATTAAATGTTATTTTCTTCCACTACACAATCTAGGAATCACAGTATTACAACTCCAAAGAACTTTGGGATTCTGGTCAACCTTACGCATAAGCAGACTGAAGCTCGAAGGTGGCCGCTTATTTGTGAACTAACTTGTACACACAGTCACTCTGTGGAACAGTCCAGTTAGAACTCCCATGTACAGGCCTGTGCTCCCTCTACAAGGCTGCTCTCGTGTCTGGAGGTGAGCTTCTTGCGCAACCTTGTGCCTGCCACAAGCACTCTGTTTTTCTAGTTTTCTTTACGTTCTGTAAAGAAATGCATGCCCTGTGTAACTCCGCATGGCACATTATGGAGACCAAAACCCATATTTATTTGGCTGTGTATACAACCCAGGAATAAAAGTCTTACCCTAAAATATTAGCTGTCATTTCAGGTGATGGCAGTGTGGCAGGGAAGTCCACCTGGCTCAGCGTCTAAGTTACGCACTGAGAGATGGCAGAGCTTAGGTGGCCATGTTTGCCGCTCCTTCCTAACAGAGCTCCTCATTTCTATGGTAACATGATTCCTCAGCACCAGGCCTCAGGCGTTCTTTCTGGGGTATCTTGTTTTGCTGTTCACAGACAGGAAAGTTGTTTTTTTCTCTCCTGCTTTCTGATGTATTCTTTACTTCAGATCCTGCAGTCTGTGAAGCAGCCTACCACTCAAATGCAGGGAAAAGTTCGAATGGGGAACAGTCTTACACAGGTCAAAAACTACAGATGGATGCACTCAGAGACCCTCCAGACAAACCCTAATGATGGAATGCTGAGTGGGTGGGGCATGGCCGTGCCTGCATCTCAAGACTAGTTTCAATATGGCTTTATATTGGATCCTTTAAAACAACTTAATGGACTTAATTGTGATTTCAGTAGCTGGTATAAAAATGCTCTATGAACTTAGGATATTATATGCCATATAACACAGAGACCAGTTACCTACAACACTGCTATGAGTCACTGGGTCCTTTTGCCACTGGATTGACGTTGTTTTTTTGACGCAATCGGAATATGCTGCTGGAGGATCAGTCCCAGGCAGCAAGGAGAGCAGGAATGGAGCTGCGTAAGAATAGAGTCCACTGTTCACTCTGCTGTGCACTGGGCCCCTCAGAAACCGTTCTACCTGCTTTCTGCTATTGTCAGCTGAAACGCTGGGCATCTGGGGGGTTCCGAAACTTAAAATGGCATCTGCATATTACTCACAGTGACTGCAAGTTCATAAAAGATCGACCCTTTGGGGGCTGATGCCTAGTGCATTCAGGTGATAGATTTAAGCATCCCAGTGAGCCAGGGTGAGACAGTCACTGTGAGAGCAGACCTACAGCTCGAATCCAGAATGAGCTGCCATGCCATAAAATCGGGCAGTTTACCTAACCTCTCGGAGGTCCCCGAGGATCCTCAACTGCAAAATGGGAGCAATAATGAAATAATATAATGACTGCATTGTTATGAAGATTAAATGCACTAATCAAAGTGCTTAGAAGAGTGAACGCTACGGAATAACCACTCCACAACTGTCTTTATTGACTGACACCGAACAGAGTAGAAAGAGTAAAGCAAGTTATGGAATATCATGTGCACTCACTTAAAATGTTTAGAAACTGGTAACAGATATATTTCCTAACGGGAAAATAGGCATCCAATTATACAGGAAAACTGAGAAGACACACTTTTCACTAGACTGTTGGATTAGGAGATGTGGGTCAGGTAGCATCTTAATACTTTAAAAAACGTTAGAAATTTTGTATTAGGCATTTTGTTGTATAGTTTTTTGTATTTATATATTCGTGTAGTTAAAA